CAACAATATATATATTTTTGTCATTCTCTGTTTCCTTGTAGAATTGAATCCATTTCTGTGTAATGTAAGTACTGATAAGGGAGGACTTTGTTGTTCTTGTTAGGTGCTGTCCAGTTGGGTTCCGACTCATAGCTATATCCTGAGTAGAACAAAACAAAACACTGTCCAGTCTTCTGGCAGCCTCACAGTCTTTGCTCGGTTTAAAGCTATTGTTATGACCACTGTGTCAGTCCACCTCACTGAGGGTCTCTCAGGCCTTCTACTTTACCAAAGCATTGATGTCCTTGTCCAGGGACTGTCCTTCCTGATCACATGTCCAGAGTATGTGAGACAAAGTGTCTCTGCACTTGCTCCTAAAGAACATTGTGGTTGTACTTCTTCCAAGACTGATGTGCTATTTTTCTGGTGGTTGTTAGGTGCCATCGAGTTGGTACTGACCCATAGTGACCTATGCACAACAGAACGAAACACTGCCCGATCCTGGGCCAACCTCACTGCTGTTGACACGCTTGAGTCCATCGATGCTGCCACTTGGCCAATCCATCTTGCTAGGGGTCTTCCTCTTTTTCTCTGACCCTCTACCTTACCAAACACGATATCCTTCTCCAGCGACTGGACCCTCCTGAGAATATGTCCAAAGTATGAGAGACGAAGTTTGACCATCTTGGCCTCCAAAGAGCACTCTGGCTGCATTTCTTCCAACACAGATCTGTTGGTTCTTTTGGCAGCCAATGGCACTTTCAATATTCTCCAACACCATAACTCAGAAGCATCAATTCTTTCAAAAGCATCAAGTCCAGCTTTTGCATGCACATGAGGTTACTGAAAATACCATTGAGTGTTCCCACGTTCTGTTCAAACAATTGACTCTTGGTCCATGTACAGATTTCCTCATGAGCACAATTAAGTGTTCTGGAATACTCATACTTTGCAATGTTGTCCATAGCTTGTCATGATTCACACAATCGAAAGCCTTTGCGTAGTCAATAAAACACAGGTAAACATCTTTCTGATATTCTCTTCTTTCAGCCAAGATCCAGTGGACATCAGCAATGATCTCTCTTGTTTCACGGCCTCTTCTGAATCTGGCTTGAACCGCTGGAAGTTCTCTGTCAGTGTATGCTTGCAGCCATTTCTGTATTACCTTTAGTAAAACTTTACTTGCATGGGATGGATATCAAAGAGATTGTCTGATGATTACTGCATTCCATTGGGTCACCTCTCTTTGGAATGGGCACAAATACGGATCTCTTCCAATCAGTCAGCCAGATAAGTTGTCTTCCAAATTTCTTGTCAGAGATGAGTGAGTGCCTCCTGTGCTGCCTCACTTTCTTGAATGATTTTAATTTTTATCCCATCAATTCCTGGTGCCTTGTTCTTTGCCAGTTCCTTCATTGCACCTTGGACTTCCTCCTTCAGTATCATTGGCTCTTGATCATATGCTACCTCTTGAAAAGGTTAAACATCAACCATTTCCTTTTGGTGCAGTGACTCTGTGTATTCCTAACAGCTTCTTTAAAAAAAAAAA